GGGGGGGGGGTTATTTGTTGTTTTATTTTTAATCTAATCCACGTTATCAGCTGCGCACTGGTGTCTGTGATGTACACTGACCTAAAAAGGTCAGTGGTGATGTAGCGTTTAGGAGCTTTGCTTTCACTCACAAAAGACGTGAGTACGATTAGGTTTACATTGGCTATCTGCGTCCATCTTCAAGGAGATTGTGAGTGGGTGGTTGGAGGATGCTCTGGTGTGATTTGCTTCTTCTTTCCTATCAAACATCTGTCGTCTTTATCTCCCCTCCTTCTTTTTTGTGTTTGTTACTCCCTTGTAACACCTCTAATCTTTGGAACCTATATGACCTTATTGTGTTGCAAGTGCCGTAAAACTCTTACTAAAACTTGTTTGTTTGTTGTTTTTTTTGGGGGGGATGAGGGTTGTTATTTGTTGTTGTTGTTGTTGTTGTTTTTAATCTAATATGTTATCAGCTGCGCACATGTGTCTGTGATGTAGTGTTTAGGAGCTTTGATTTCGCTTTAAGGTCGTTGGCCTTCACTCACAAAAGACGTGAGTTCGATTAGGTTTATATTGACTATCTGCGGCTGTCGTCAAGTTCAAGGAGATGAGATTGTGTCCTCTCAGGGCTCGGGGTGAGTGCTGACTAAAGCTGGGCAATGAGTCGCTTTAGCAAAATCCGGATAATAATATTAGTGCACCTCTTCGGCAAATAATATGATATGAACCGCTTCGGCAAATGGGTCAGCACCACTTCGACAAACGGGTTAGCATCACTTCAACAAAAGGATGCCCCCACTTCGGCAAGTGGGTCAGGAAAGGGAGTTAAGAGTCTGAATTCGGACAATGTTTTATTGATAACTATCCGGTTATCCGTATAGATTATCCGGATTTTTCCCACCTCTTGTCCTGACTGGACTGGTGGGCCGGTGGAGGTCAAAACAGCCCGTCTGGTAGATGAAAGTACATGTATTATAATCTGAACCATGTGTCGGTATGTGTGTGTGTGTCGTTGTTTGTGTGTGTGTGTGTGTGTGTGTGTGTGCGTGTGTGTGTGTGTGTGTGTGTGTGTGTGTGTGTGTGTGTGTGTGTGTGTGTGTGTGTGTGTTTGT